CAATAGCCTATTATTCAAGAATAGCAAAAATGCTTACTTACAGCTAATTATTGGTATTTCCTAGATAGAACAATTGGGTTACTTATTTTTTAATAGTACCCATATATTCACACACAGCAATTTAACAAATGAAACATTTTTTTAAAATTCACCAGTTCTATAACTTAAAGATCAAGGCATTAAGATTTTAGAAAACCTATTTCCTTGTAACACATCTTGAAATCAAGACAAAATTGCTGCTACATATACAACAGTAAAAGGTCTAATAATAATTTTGCACTTACACTGCCACATTTTTTTTAATGGTATATTCATCCAAATCATCATCAGAGCTGCTATCAGTTGCATCAGAATCGAGACCCTCTTCAACATGAGATAACAGCCCTGTAGCAGACAGTGCAAATCTTTGGATTTCTGCAGCTGTACACCGTGCAAAGCCATTTTTTGTATCGTTCCACAATTTACTGTCTGCAGTCAATAGGTTGATGTCTGGCTTAATTTCAGTGCACTTAGATAAACTGTTATCCAAAGTTGTGGTAGGTTCATGAAAGGTCTTCATTTTGGGGAGTTGATGTTTCATAGAATACTCCATTTGCTGACCATAGTGCTTGACAACATGCTTTGCCAGGCACATCTGCAAGTGTTTCTGAGTTCTTCTAGCTTGGTTAAGTAAAGTTTTCTGTTTACTTACACAATAAAGTAAACGAGCATTCACTTCCTCCTCTTTTTCAGCAGCTGAGGAAAGAACAGGCACATTTGAATGGCCAGGCCCAATTTTCTTTTGGGCACAATGCAATAAACCCTTTTTTATCTCAGCATCAGTGACTTTACCCAAAAGTGCATTCTTTTGGTACCGTTGACAGTTTTGTAGTTGTACTTTATCTACAGTAGTGTCTTTGGTTATATTTGAATCCAAAATAATTTTTACATCTGTCATGCACTGGCTTGTGGTATCTGACAGAGGTTCCTTTTTGATGAACTCTTCAGACTGAGGATGACAGATTTTACTGAGCTGAATGTTGCTGCCATTATACAGTATGTTTTTCAGCTTATTGCAATTGGGCTCTGCTAATTTCTTCTGTTTATAATTCTCACTGTATTTATTTAATGTAGAATTAGAAGTCATTAAAAGAACTGTCTGATAATGTTTTGAAGACTGAGGGGAGCCAAAATGTTTTAAATTCACAAAATTAGTGTTAAGAGTAGGTTCAGGAGTTGGGAATCCCAGCATCTGGGAGAAAGTGTCTCCCTTTAGCTTTTCATCTACAGTTCTTGAACTTTCCAGGCATAGCATCTTGTCAGACTCCATGGTACTTGGTAAAGATGAAAACCAGATACCCTTTGTTGCTGCCTCCCTCAGAGCTGGGGTCATGGCGAATCCAGCAGATAATCACTGGAAATCTAAAATAATGTAAAAATAAATAGTCAAATATCTAGAAAAAAGTTTTATGCCTAAACGTTTTCCAAAGCCAACAATTTTAATGTTTCTAATTAAAATGTGAGGAGAACCAAACTCCTCCTTTATTTTTCAACTCCTAACACTATCTCTGCTCTTTCTTTCTAGTTCATAAAGAATTCAACTAGGACTAAACTATTCTTCACTCTCACTATATGAGCCAATACCCAAAACTTCAGTTAAAGTTTCACACTACCTAACACAATAAGTGTTAGACAAATATTTGTTGGTATAAATATAGTTGACCATTGAAAAATGCAAGGGTTACAGGCACCAACCTCTCGCAAAGTTGAAAATTCACATATAACCTTTGACTCTTCAAAGTTATAACATAGTTAATTCACACATATTTTGTAATGTTATATGTATTCCTACAATAAAGACAATTTTAAGAAAATTATAAAAAAATTTCTGTATGTAAGTGGACCCACACAGTTCAAACTCGTGTCATTCAAGGCTCAACTGTACATCTCAAGATTCCATTTTTAAACAATGTTTAGATAGTCAAAAGAAAAAATTCCAACCTGGATTCTGGGAATCATACTTGAAAATGTGACTCAATCTCACACTTTCAGCCAAGTTAGAATTACTTATCTTTATAAAATATAATAAATTGCTCAAAATGTCAATTTCTTAATTTAAACTTAACAATCTGAACAGTATATTACTAATTAAAATATACTAAAAATGTAAGATGTAAGTGAATTGAGCTACAAATAAAAAAGTATATAATTTCACAGCTGTTAAAAATAATGTGATAATGAAAAGTTACCTAATCTGTAGTGTGCAAAAATATTTCCTGAAAAAGTATCAGCAGTAATTTTTTCACTTTTCAAAAATGGACAGTTATCAGTTATGATACAAGCTATTATTCTTGTCTGTAAAATATTGGGAACTGTTACAGATGACCACTAAAGATTAATCCCATAATTAAACAAATTTATCCAAAGAAAAAGTATAAAACCATATATTGTGAAATACAGAAAAAGTTAAAATTCAGTACCATTAAAAATTATGAAGATTGAGGGGCTGGTCGAGTGGCTCCGTTAGTTAAGAGCTCGCTCAAGAGTTTGAGCTCTGAGCAACAGCGGTTCGATGCCCAGCCCGAGCTGAGCAGCCGCTGAGCTGCCAACAGGTGGCAGGATGGCTCAGCTTAAAAAAATAAAGAAAAATAAAGAAAAATTATGAAGATTGAACAGTGAAAGCATTTTATATCATTAACAATTAGACATTTTTGAAAACACTTTGGAACTATGATACCCCATTTTTGTTTGTTTCAACACACAACAGTTAAGTCATTTAAAAGGCCACACACTAATATTGAATGTCTCCATTCAACGTACTCCACACCTTTAATCCCTATTTAAAAACACAAAACGAAAACTAAGTCTTTGAAAAGATTAGCAAGAATGTTCAGAAGGAAAAAAAAAAGCAATTTCTACGCAATAAAAACAAAACAAAACAGGGCTGGCCAAGTGGCGCATTGGTTAAGAGTTGGCTTGGGACGCCAGCTCTGAGCAGCAGGGCCCCAGCTCGGATCCCACATTGAGGGCCAGTGATGATGTGCCCTCTACAGCTAAGATGATGAACAACAGCTCGACCTGGAGCTGGGCTGCTGTGAGCTACCGTGAGTGGCTGGCAGCCAGCATGAGCGGCTGTGAGCTGCCATAAGCGGCCATCCAATGGGCGGCGAGTGACTGCCTCACCGGGGAAGAGCGCAATGATGATACCAACATGGGCCACTGAAGTGACATCCTTCACACTAGACTGAAGAACAAAAGGACAGCAACTTGTCTGTTCCCCTTTCCTGATTTCCCAACCCTGTTCCCCTCCCCCAATTCCCCAATAAAATCTTTAAAAAAACACAAACACACACGATTAAAAGCAACTGATAGACTAGCAGAAAATACCTGCAACATACATAACGAAGAAATAATATCCAAAATGTATACAGAACTCCTAAAATGGGCACAGTATTGGGCAGTGAGGCACTGCGCTGATAATGACATCCAAGCAATCATTAAACACACACTCAATTTTACCAGTAATGAAGGAAATGTAGATTAATAAAGCAAGAGACCAGTTTTCAAACCACCAAATGGAAAAGAATGTTTTAAGTCTGAAAATATCACTTATGGGAATCTGAGTAAATAGATTTGTCACATCTATTTAGACTATAATTTGATTCAGTAATTTGATAATAATATGGAACATGTGTTTCTCACATGTGCACAAGAGAGCAGTGTTTCTAATAGCAAAGGATTCTTTCAAAGCAACCTAGATGTTTAACAATAAGAGAATGGATAATTAAACATAATGGGTTACTATACAGCAGTTAAAAAGAATGACCTAGATTTCTATGTGCAATATAGACAAACCTCAAAAACAGTATAAGTTAAAAAAGACAGAGCAGAATATATAGAATGATACCATACAAAATACAAACACAAAACCATACCTACCACACACACACACACACACACACACACACACACACACACACACACGTCTGTGTGTTTATAAGACTAAAAAACAAACCAGAAAAATACCCACCAAATTTTTAACTATAGTTTTGTCCAGTAAGTTCTGTGAAACAGAAGAGTGGTGGTTTAAGAGAAGCTGAATTTTAACTACAAAATTTTATTACTTGGGGTTAAAACACTAAATCCAAAAATGAACCAATGTTAGTGGTTGTTAATTCTGTGTAATAAAAAAAATAGATATTTCCCTTTTTGTACTTTACTATTTAATGTCTCAAAAAAAGTAGAGATTTCTAGCTAATCCTCTCCTCTCCCCCAAGTTCTGTATATCTCAAAATTTATATACTTTTATATGTGTCAAAAATAATAAATCTTATATATAACAGATTCTCATTTGTCTTCAATACAAAAAACAACAAAAAATAACCAGATTATTAGGCCGGCCAAGTGGTGCAATGGTTAAGAGCTGGCCTGGGACACCAGATGGCCCCGGTTCGGATCCCACATATGAGGGCCAGTGACACTGCCCTCTACAGCTAAGATGCTGAACAACAGCTCAACCTGGAGCTGGGCTGCTGTGAGTCGGCCAGCGACGGTGTAGGCTGCAGCTTAGGCTGCAGCCCTTGCTGCAGTGGGTTGCCATGGGCTACCATGTGTAGCCAGTAGTCAGCGTGAGCGGCCAGCAGCCGCTGTGAGCGGCCATCCAGAAGCTGGCGACTGATCTGCCTTGCCCGGGAAGAGCGCAATGATGGTGCCAACTTGGGCCAGTGAAGCAACATCCTCCAAAACTAGACTGAAGAACAAAAAAGGACAGCAGCTTCTCTGTTCCCCCTCCCCCAATTCCCCAGTAAAAATCTTAAAAAAAAAAACCAAAAAAACAGATTATTGAGATTTTAGTTTACATTTTACATTCTACTTTTATGAGAAATAGAAAAATAATTATAAAACAAGTTATTAGCACTGGGAAATTATTTTTCAGGACTCAGTCTGTCACTTGATCAACTCAATAACCTATATGTTCTAATCTATAAATATCTATGTAGTATTTAGATAACTGCATTGATCTCCAAGGGAAACTGCTTTAATCACAGTTCTTGCTGACGATAGTCATATTCAAAAGATAGTACACTCTATCCCCTTCCTACCCACCAACTCCCACTCAAAAAATAGCAGAGTGCTAAGGATATACTAGAAGTGGCTCACAGGGGCAGAGGTGAAATATAGTGAGGCAGTACAGTTCATCTTAAGCCCGAGATAAACTAAAGATAAACTAAAAATAAAGGTAGAGAAAATATACACAGCTAATAGTTAAGAACTAGAGTTGGCAGTGAAAAGAGAAAGAAAAGAAATGTATATTGGGAGTGGCTAAGGTGCATTTATGGTAGAGAATTAGAATAAAACACACACAAAAAAGCTCTGGTGAGATATCTAGGGCTTACTTGGTATGACAGGCAGCTTCTAAAATGATCCTAATAATCCCCATCTCCTGGTATCCATGCCCTTGTGTAATTAATCCTCTCTTGAGTGTGGACTAGATTTAATGACTTGCTTTTAGCAAAAGAGAATGCAGCAGCAGTGATGGGATGTTACTTCCAAGATTAGGTTACAAAGAGACTGTGGTTTCCATTTTGTCACCCCTCTCACTCAGGGATGCCAGCTGCCATGCTGTAAGCTGGAAGACCCACGTAGCAAAGAACTAACATCTCCAGACAACAGAGAGCAATGATCTAAGACCTGCCTACAGGTGTGTGAGTGATCTGAGAAGCAGAGTCTTCCCCAGTCAAACCTTCAGATGACTGCAGTCTGAGCCAACACCTTGATCACAGTCTTGTGAGAAACCTTGAACCAGAAGCCATGCCTGGATTCCTAGCCCACAGAAACTATAAGTGCTTTAAGCCATTAAATTTGGAGGTAATTTGTTAGCTAGCAGTGGATAACCAAAACACTCACATAGGAAGACTTTTGGGTTCTAGTCTCTAGAAGGCCCAGCCATATCATAGTTCCTGTTCTTGGATTTACATGGGGTTCTTATGTTTTCTATTCCCAAGTGTATCCTTAGAAGAAATTCAAGCCTGAAAGTCCCTCTACTTTGCAGCCAAAAGAAACTCATGCAAATAGATATGTCTCCTGTAAATAAAAAAAGTTTAATTATGTTCATATAGTTTTGGCATAAAACATAAGTGCATTTATACCAGTTATTAAATATGTAATCATTGTGTATAACGTTTCCTAACTGATGATCCTAAACTCTACCACTTCTGACTACCTCCATATTACATAAACAACTACACTTATCACTAACACTTCTAAGATCTAAAAAGGCTTGGATTTTTTCCCATTTTGTTAACCATTATATTGCCAACATGAAAAAAGTACTGACATATAGCAGATGCTCAATAAACATTTGGTGAATAAATAAGTGGCTGCCATATACTTAGAATAAAACCCAAGGTCATCCTCAGCAT